AATATAAAGCACATCCAACAAGGATGCTATTTATGAATTAATGCTATTTTACAAGAGTATTTCATTTTTGTAATCCACTACCACTGAGATTAAATGTTGTACCTTTTACTCCACTACATTCATTTGACAACTGTTACATTGAGTGCATTCAGTGTGAGTTAGTCACATTACTGTTGTGTTAGAATAAAGCTTCAATAATGCATTTCTGATGACATTTTTTAAATGTTTGAACTGGAAAGAGGTGAGACAGTTGTCTAAACCTAGGTGCGTGTGATACAGTTACTGATTTGAAAGTATAACAGGTATTGTTAAATCCCCCAACAGCTAATGTAGCTTAAAAACTGCTAGATGTGAATGCATCAATAATTTAAACAACATTACAGACACCACTTTTATACTTTTTACTTCTGATACTTTACTTTTTCCTGAGTCCGATTTTTTATACAAGACTTTTTCAATTTTAATATTGCTACTTTTATTACAACTCTTAGATTAAACCATAACATATCAAGACAGAGCCTGACATTTGACCAGGTTGTACATTATTTTTTGAAGAAAGGTTGTTTTATTATATTATCTTATGCTTAATGACTATCCTATAGAGTGGAAATAGATGTGTTGTGATGACTTGTATGTTGAAAGGTAAAAAGCTTTTTTTTTGCTGAAATATTGTGTTTTGTGATCTTTTCCTAATGCAGCTTGATTTGTTTCATATTGAAAGTAAACTTTAGCAAAGTGGTATTATCAAATCTTTTTATCAGGAGGTGGTCCGTTAAATGATATGACTTTTAAAAAATACTGTACAATAGCTAAACATATCAAAACAATTAAATATGGAATGTAACCTTGTGTAAGGAGTTATCTGAGTATTGGTGCAAATGAATATTGCATCTACAAATGAATCTGACTGAATGCAAGAAACCAGATTATTTTTTCAATAATCCATATGAATCATGAATGATTAACGTTTTGACTGATATACCATCCATTTTCTTGCATTCGTGGGAAAACTGAGTGAAATTCCTACAGCACTCCCACCACAAGGAGCATTGAATGCCAATGAAAAATTAATAACCACAAATGAGCTTTCACACAGAGAGACTGAATAGAAATCTTTGGGGTCTAAACACAAAGTCTGTTTGCAGAGGTGAACACTAACATATAGGGTTTTGTCTGCATTATAAATACATGTTTGCACATCAGAGATACATAATAGTCTCTCATAGATCAAATTGTTTCCATTTGTCATCATCCATACTTGGTGCATTTAGAAAATGATTATGATGTCCTCTCTTTAAATTAGAATCTATTCTAGACCTCTAATGGATGTTTAACAGGCTCCTTATGAAAACCACATAGGAGCAGTCTTGGATCCCTGAGCCAGTAAGTAGTGTAATTCTTGATACATTATTGGTTGACTTCTCACACCCTTATCTGCCTTACAGATGCTTTCATATGCCTTAAAAATATTGATATGAATCTCCTTAGGCTTACTGTATAAAGCTGACCTATAGTACATTAATATCATACCTTCAGCTGTTTAATGTGTACACCAAACTATTTGTATTTCTCTGCCACAACTGCTGAACTGCTCTGTTAACCTTTTTCTGTTTCAGACTTTGAAGACAGGCAGAACTTAAAGGTGGGGTAGGTAAGTTTGAGAAACCGGCTCGAGATACACTTTTGTTATATTCATGGAATGCTCTTTAACATCCCGATAGCAAATGAATATCTTACGTGCTTTGACAAAAAAATCCATTAAAAAAATGTCATCTGTGGAAGCCGTAATACTGTAAACAAGCACGACCAATCATTTTAGCCGGCCCCGGCTAAAATAACTGGATGGCCTACCTGCCTGTCAGCCTTCCATCTGTGCACAAACTTATCTCGTGCCCTCATTGGTCATGTGCGCGTTCGTGTGTGTGAGGGCTCTGTAAGGAAGCGGCAGATTTTTTTTTTCCGGCTGTGTATTTTCAAATTCTAGCACACTCGAGCTGGTTTCTCCAAAATTACCTACCTTTAACCATTTGTATTTCCTGAGTTGCTTCCAATCTCATGTCCCCTGAATTATCAACCAGCCTTGTGTAATCTCTGAGAATGTTTTGCACTATCAGGCTTAAGATTCTCTACATGTCATGCCCCAAGAATAGAAATACATAGTTTGCTCTTCAAAGTGAATTGACTTGGTGGAAGGGCAACCCATTATGTGATATAAGCTAGCTAACATAACATAATTAGCTAGCAAACAGTTTGTTGCAATTTTTTCTCTACAGCAATCTCTCCCAATAAACATTAAACAGTGCCCTGATGTTTCAGCTAATTTACAAACATTTGATACACAGCCAACTTTGAATAATCAGCATGCTATCTTTAGCTTACAGCTAGCTCAAATCACCTCACCTGAGTCCTGTTGAGTAGGTGGAGACGTCACTGTAGGAGTTAGGTTTTAATACACAGCCTCTGTTTTTTCTCTGTCAGGTCCAACTTCATTTTAAAGAAATAAATATACTGGGGGAAAGCTGTAAGCTGTTTGGAAGAGAAGATACTGTACTCTGTATTGCCTTACCACTAGGTGTTACCAAAGAGTTAAACCTTCCTGTTCCCCGGTCATTCGGTTCACATGTTTCCTATCAGCTGTTTCACTAGCTAGGAACTATCCTGTTTCTTCATTGTTCTCAAGCCGGCCTTCTTGTTTCCTACCCAGCTGGTCACCCCTTTTATCCAGCATTATTGTTCCTGAGTTAGCAGACCTCCTCTACCCGTTCATTAGTCACTTGTAGTCACAGTTATATTTGATTTACAGTAGAACATGTGGATGCCTTCAATGTAGCTTTGCTGTCTTACTCCAAAAAGCATGTAGAAAACTCAAACTTTAAATTCTGGATTCTCGCTGATTGATTAATAACGACTAGCACATTGCAGGAGTCTTCAAATCTAAGTACACTTACCAAATAACACTTGTTCAGTATGCCTGTCTGTTAGGAGCCAGCATTGTTTTAATCTACAATCAATGCATTTATATAAGAACATAAAACCTTGTGCTCTGTTTATTTTTCGTTGATTTAACATTTGAGCTGTGGAGGAAGAATTATGGAAATGACTTCTCTCCTACTCACAAGACACCAACGCTAAATGCCAGATTATTTAAAGAGTCAAGTATGCTTACATGATATGAGGCTTATATTTTCAAATCCTCAACTGCTGAATAGCTATATTTTCTCAAAGTGCTGAATAGCTATATTTTCCCCATCCATAGTGTTTTTGGGTCTATAATATGAACCTATAAGTGTTTACCTTTGAAACCCAACTCTGTCTACCAAGCAGGACATCCACTTTAAAAAATGTTTTGCTAATACATTTCCAAAAACAACTTTGCTTTTGTTCTTACCTTACGGTGTGTAGACTGATGTTTCTACCAGAGATTAAATAGGGACAGAGGGGTTGAAAGCTACTGTCGGCTTTTCCAGCTTGCCATTATTAAAGCATGTAGCTGTCAGCACCACTTTACTCGCCTACACAAACAAACATACAGCATGTAGCATACAGTACAAAGTGCTGTCTTTTTGACAGTCACCTTGGTGACAGTGCTGACTAGGGGACTAAAATAAATCTCACTCTGCAGGATTCAGACGGTATTCTGTCTTCACTAATATGTTTGAAACCATTTGTTTTCTTCCAGTTGGCCTTCCTGCAACAGCAAGCTGTCAATTTCCAACACTAAAAAGTGAGCTTTTAATAACGGAAGGGAAAAAGAGCTTTATGAGAGTTTAGTCAACTATGTATCAAATGTTAACACTACCCTATCGTATGAGATACACGCTTAACTATACAAAAAAAAAAAAAAAAAAAAAAAAAAAAGGGTCAAGGTTTGGAAAGGTAAAAATGTACCAGTGACTGAGCCTCCGTACAGTTGCCTTCGCTAACTGTACGGAGGCTCAGTCACTGGTACATTTTTATATACAAAGCCATGTTAGGGAAACTTCCATCCTACATCTGCTCCCTGATCTCACGGCGAATTGTAAGTGGCTACTGCCTGAGATCGCATGCTGTGGTTTTATTAAATGTGCCAACTGCTAGGACTGATAGCATTTAGATGCGCAGCTCCACTGTCTTGGAATAGTCTGCAATTGAAATGGAAACTGAGCAATCTGGTGCCACTAAATGTTTTTAAAGCTCAGTTGGATGCTACTCAATCGGAAGCTGTTGGTACCTGTTCATGTGGATAGTTATGTAAATTGTAATCCCTGTAATGATGCTGTATGATGTCCTTTTTGTTGTTCTGTTTATGTTTTTATGTTTCATGTGGAACCTACTTGAGCAGGTCTCCCTTGAAAAAGAGATCAATGATCTCAAATGGGATACACCTGGATAAATAAAGGTTTGAAATTAAATTAAATTAAAAGACTGATGAAAGTATCCCACTCTGAGAACATTTGTTGAATAACAATTAGTAAGAAGCATAGCTAGGGGCTATGAAGAGGGAAGGTGTCTCTCCATTTTGAAACGCCAATTAAGTTGTTTAAAGAACTTAAGGTAACAAAGGAGAGATTTAACCTGCTGAGAACAAGTTCTCGGGTCATGTCGTAAATTGAACGAAGGGACAAATATCTGATATAAGATCATCTTACTCATGACTCAATGCATAATGTGCAAGAAGGCTGACGCTCTGTGCCCTTACTGTAAGTTCAATGCAAGTGTTAACGATAAAGTTCCTCTAGATCTTCATTTGGGAAAATGTCGAAATGAAAAAAGTGCACATCTGTCCTTTATCCTAAAAGCACACATGGAAAATGGCAATTCAGAAATGTATCGTAACAAATTCAGAAAATATCACTAAAATTGAGGATAAGTGGTTGATTTTAAACTCCCAGGTGGCCACCATCAGCACACTGCCAGACTTTCAACTCTACGTGATGCTTCAACATCAGAAGGTTTGAGGGACACTCAAGTGCATAATATGCGACATGACACATGTACTCACAAAGAAAAGGCAGACAGGAAAGAGTTAGACAATTTTATGGTACCACTTGCCACTTTAATGAATGAAGGTAATCAAATATGAATCCAACAAAAATGATAAAGTACTAGAAACGTCTTTAGTCGACAAACAAGTTTGAAATCAACCATCCTCCCACATCCTCCCTCAGTTGTTTTGGTCCAATGTTCCCTTTCCTTCCTGCTTGCTCACAGACACAGATACTGTGAGGGAGCCAAGTTGGTTCAGTACACTTGGCTGTCTTTTTGAGTTTGTATCATAAACCCTGTTTAGACTTTGGTGGGCTTGCTCTTTATGCAAACTGTTTTTGGTTGTCAGCAATGGACCTATAGAGGGCCACGGCCAGTTTAAAGTAAATATCCAAGGCTTTAAAAAAGATCAAGGCCACAAGCATGCTCTTAAACAAGTTAATTTAGTGCTTATCGTTACTTGCAAAAATGTATTTAACATAACTCGACCTTAACTTTTCTGTTTAAAAATATGGATTGTTGAATGAGGTCAACGTTGAAAATGAACATAGATGAGAGAAATAAATAAGCGTGATCTGAGAGCCCTGCTCAACATAAACAACAGTAAACGGAAAGGCAGGAATGTAAGCTTTGTCATTCGGTTGTTTCTTCCTCTGGATTTTTGAAGAGGTTGGGAGCGAGATCTCTCCCGCTGAACCAAGGAAGTAATTGAATACAGCGGAAACTGCTTTTTCTTTGAACAGCAAAAAAAGTCCAACTTAAACAAAACATTACACTTCTATTTTTGTTTTGGAACTGCAAAATAAGCTGTATATACCCACACTGAGGCTGTAACTAAGGATTTATTTAATTATCAATTGATCCGCCAATTATATATTTAAAATAAAAAAATGACTTTTGACGCTAATAAAATAATTTTAAATAACAAAAAAAACAAATAAGTAGCAAATCCTCACATTGGAGATGAACCAGATTATTTGGTATATAGTTTTACTTGACAAATTAATTTCTTTAAACCTTACTGTTGATCTAATTGTTGCAACACTTACTAAAACCAGACTAAAAAACAGTTAAATAAAAGAGTTTGTGAAGACAGTGTAGCAAAAACCAACTTAGTCTCTGTTGTGGAGCACCAGTCACAGGGGTGTCTCTCTCTTATATAAGGCTGCACTGGTAGGACCCTCAAACTGCAGTTTGATGGCCTGTTTCAGATTAAGCTGCGGGTCTGTGGTTGTCATATTGACCATACCGTCTTCAGGCAAGGCACTACAAGGTGGGTCTGTGGTAAAACTGTAGCAAACAGGTGACACAATGTTTTTCTGGGGTATAGAATCCCAAGCTTCCCCTTGCAGTGGTCTCTGTAACATATAAGGGTAGCCCAGAGGAGGATTCTCTCGGTTTTTGGGGCTATCTTGCCCTGGCCTTATCCCAAGGGAAGCCATTACTGAGTGCCATTTGCCACCATCGTAAACAGTCCCGTCAGCTTTTATTAAGTTCGAGTTTTGTTTGTTCATTTTGTCGTGATATTCAAGTCCAGACGACAAGCCTTTCTGAGTCAGTTCACAGTTGTGCAGCTTGGCAGCGACTGTGCAAACAGTGGTAGGAGGGCTGCCTTTAGAATGCTTGTGGATGCTTCCATGGATGCTACCCATGCCTGAGCTCCCTGGTGGGGGGAGGGTGGAGGGACGACTACGACTGCGGGGAAGGGAGTGCTGTTGGATCTGCTGAATAAAGCTGAGGCTGTCAGCTGGCACCGTCTGCATCGTGGCCCGAGAGTGTCCAGTAGATGAGGTTTGGGAGCTGTGCATTGAGTGGAATCGCTCTGCTGTGGAACCGGGGGAAGATATTGAGGAGAGGGAGGTAGCAGCGGTGAATTCAACTCCATTACTTTCCAACATGCCTGAATAAAGGATCTGGTTAGGTTTTACAGGGGATGCATTACTAGAGTTCGAATACATGCCTACATATGGTTTGGCTCCGTAGTTCTCCAATAACCTGACAATTTTAAAGTGCCCGTATTTCCCAGCGACTTTGACTGGACTGCGGCCGTATTTATCCATGTGATTGGGATTTGCACCTCTTTCCAGAAGCATTCCAACAATATTTGCCTGCCCCACCTGTGCTGCGATGCTCAGAGCTGTTGCCCTCTGGTGACAAGTCAGGTCTATATCAACACCAGTGGCTTCAAGGAGACGACGTCCTACTTCAGCGTGTCCTGTCCAAGCCACCGAATGCATTGGTGGTCTCCCCTCTGTATCCTGTGCATTGGGGTTTGCCCCATGCTTTAACAGTAAGTCAACCATCTCCACACACCCCTGCCAGGAAGCAACATGCAGTGCTGTACGTCCCTCAGAGTCTCGGGACTCAAGCGGGACCCCACCTTTCTCTATTAGGAGAGTTGCCTTTTCAAGGCGATCCTCCAACACCAGGAGGTAGAGCAGAGGCCTTCCTTCTGCATCCCGGACATCGGTATCGGCCCCTCTTCTCATAAGCAGTTCCGCAACGTCAGTATGGCCCTCCAGGAGGGCGGCACTCAAGGCAGAATGTCCATCATACGCCCTGTGGTCAATAGGAGAACGTCTGTCCAACAACAGCCTGACAGTGCTCCAGTGACCTTCCTGGGCAGCCAGTATGAGAGGGGTTCGTCCTTCAATATCCATCTCTCCAACCCGTGCCATGCTGCCTCTCTCTGTCAAAGCAGCACACACAGCCCGATGGCCTTCACAGGCTGCAGCGTGCAGTGGAGTCCAGCCAAGGTCATCCTTGTGGTTCTCGTCCAGGCCTCGGTCCAGCAGGGCGCGGACAACCTCAAAGCTGCCTCTTGCTGCTGCTAGGCAGAGTGCTGTCCTTCCTTCACAATCAATTGCATCCACAGCTGCTCCCCAGAAAAGCAGCCGTGATATTGTCTTCATGTGGCCCATTGCTGAGGCTGCCAGCAGGGGAGTAACAGCAGCTGCAGCGGAGACGTTGCCATTAGGGCCAGCAGTCTCATCTACATCAGCACCAGCTTCTAACAGAAGTTCAACAACATCGTCATGGCCCTCATAGGCTGCAAGAAGCAATGGTGTCATTCCATCATGGTCTCGGTGTCCTGGATCTGCTCCACGCTCCAGTAATAGACTTGCTACCTCCCCATAACCTTTGACCCCTGCTGCTGTAGGGACACAGAGGGCAGCGACTGACAGAGCACTGCGCCCATCTCCATCAGCCAAGTTAACTTTTGCATTGTGGTTCAGCAATATCTCCACAGCTTCCTGATGCCCCATATAGGCAGCAGCAATTAGCGGTGTGCGACCTTTGCTGTCTGCTTTGTCTACCTGTGCCCCGTAGTCCAGCAGTGTCAGGACAATTTCCTCATGTCCTCCCCACGCAGCAGCTCTTAAAGCAGTCCTGCCCTCAGCATCACATCCATCTACATCGGCCCCTGCATCCAGAAGAAGCCGGACAGCCTCGCTGTGGCCCCCCCACGCCGCAGAGCGCAGGGCAGTCCAGCCTTCATTGTCGACATGCTCCATCATCCGCACTGCATTTTCTGGATCTTGGTTCCTGGTCCATTCCAAAAGCACAGACAACACTTTGACATGACCCTGCTTGGAAGCCAAAGTCAGTGGAGTTTGACCCTGTTGGTCACTGACCAGTGGATCATATCTGTATGTCAGGAGAAGTTCAACTACATTTGCAGAACCCTCCTGGGCTGCACTGGCAAGCAAGGCCTGTCCATCTGTGGAACCGGGCTGGTGTACAGCTACCTCACTGCCTAGCATTTTCTTTACAGACACATCCCTTTCAAAAGCCTGTCTTAAACTACTTATCTCTTCACCTGTACAATGAACTCCAATACTTGTATCTGCATCTGAAAAACAGGCTGCAGGGACGAGCCCACTCCTAATTAACAGCTGAAGGACTTCTTGACTGACCAGAACAGGAGGCTGGGTTATTGATAAGGAGAGGCTACTTCTACCGCTAGAAGTAAGAACAGGCACATCTGTCCACAGCATCCACAGTGCCAATAATGAGGGGTTATCTTTATGGAGACCTGAGCAAACTAAATGTGTGGCAAGCTGGCAAGTGTCCTCATTGTCCAGATTAGGTCCCTGCAAAGTCAGAGCCATTGCGAGCATGCTGTGACCCTCTTTCGTGCTACAGAGGTACTTCTGTGTGCAATATTTAACATCTGTGAGCCACTCAGCAAAGCTGGCATGAAAAAGTATTTTGGTGCCATCAGGGCCATCGATCAGGAGAGGTGCGAGGGTTCGGAGCTTGTTCTGGAAGTCCTGGAGGCTGAGCAGTGTGTCATGCGTCCATGCTGCTGAAAACAGCTGCTGAGGGGTAAGGGGCCTCGGGGCAGCTAATAGGATATTGAGGAGAGGCCTGACATAGACGAAGAGCCCCCGGGGGAACAGTCTTTGGCACAACCACAGGTAGAGGCCATTCAGAGTCCCGGGGATGTCTCTGATCTCCCGAAGACCCACCAGGGCACCTGCCACACCATCCAGCACACGCTCGAGGAATAGAAAGCAGCCACCGCTCTTGATGTGCAGTAGATTCAGCATGTCAGCCGTGTCAGGGGTGAGCTGACGGCGAAGTGTCGCATCTTCATCCAGCCGACAGAGGATGTACTGCTGCACGTCCCGGACGGGCGGGGGTTTGCGGAGGTCATCCAGACAGAGCCTACGAAAACCTACAACACAGAAAGAGGTAGTTCAGTTTATTTAAGCCCAAAATAGTTCATATACTATACATAGAGTATACCGTTCTTTATCAGTCATCCATTGTGTTATGTTGGTTCTTTTATGGTGTAGGTAATAACCATCTTGTGGTACTTTGTTCTCTCCCTTTTTGTCGACACAACACACCATGTTGTTTAGGTATAGCTGTAGAGTTCACTACAGATTCCATCTGCCTTGATCAAGACATGATGCCTTCGGCCACAGTTGTTAGCACAGAGGCATAAAACCACTGAATTCGTTTTTCTAATTAGTTGAAAATGGAATAACTGACACATTGATTTAAATGCCCAATAATTGCTGCCCAATATGCTCCACATTGATGCCTGAGGTAGTTCATGATCCAGTCTGTTATAATCTCTCATTTACAACAAAATCTTAAAAGGCAGATGAGCAATGCTTTCTTCTCACCTGAGAACATCTTGCACAGCGCCTTGTTGTTGCGGCGGATGGAGCAGACCAGCAGCAGCCAGCTGGGTAGCAGGTGTGTATTTGCAGCAAGGAGCTGTGCAATGGAGTTACTCCTCGCACCTTCTTCACCTGTCCCATAGCCTACGTCCAGGGAGTCCACCAACACCATCAGAGTCTTGGCTGGAGGAGGAAGGTCTAACAGGGGCCCCAGCACTGCTCTGAAGACACAAAGAAAGGGATCATTAATGGCTATGTAGAAAATACAGCATTGTTGGGAAGATAAGGGAGTTTGAAGTAACATTAAACATTTGCCTTTAAAATGTACTGTTCAGAATTTACTTTAAAGAAATACACAGCAGGTCAACTAAATTAAATCACTTGATCCGTATGCAGGCAGATATTTCGCCCTAAAGTGCCATGATTCAACTTAAAGCATGAAAGTGTTTTGTGACATTTTTGCTTTTGTCATAAATTTGATATTGTTTTACAAACAATCTCACAATGACAGTCAATCCAACCACAAAACAGATTACCAAAGTAAAATGCTTTTATTGGCAACAGTAGCAGTCAGTATGATTCCAATTGGACATGCTGTTCTTCACTTTAAACATAGGGTAATGAAGAAACAACATTAAATTCCTGCAGCTGCCGTCAGGGAATAAGAACAGCAAAAAGTGTATCTTCTACTGTTATTAAACTCATAGATATGATGCAAAATGGTGAAACAATGTTACACTTTTCAAAAATCTAAATCCTTAAGAGTCAGCACCCACACCCTGCTTTGATCTGATGGTGACTCAGGTTAAAAGAACTTCTGAAATGCCCTGCTCCACCCTGTGCACGCTCTCACACACACGCCCACACACACACACATACTGTATACTGTACATGCACACACACGCACAACAATAGAATATCTTTAAAAAATCGAAATAATGACGAAAAAGGTCCTACATGGTTTTCTGTGCAGGGGCACAGAGATCAAAGGTTTTTTGGACCTCCAGCCTATTTAATTCCTGACTTTAGACTAAGCCCTAAGGCAAGTTTATTTGAAGAATATAAAATCCTTTATTCAACAGGCGGCCCTGAGCTATTGAAGCTAAACAACTTCAAAATGAAAGTGCAAATTGTTTGAGGGAAGTCGGTAATGTTAAGAACAAAGTTTATGCTTCCACATAATTACTGTGACTGGTGTGAAAATATGCCTGAGCTAAAGACAAAACAAATATCTGACACCTATGATAATGTAATGGTAACTACAGTAGAAATAGTCATTATAGCTACCTATGTTAAACCTGTTCTAACACATCCAAGCAGTGCCAGACCTGTGTTTAAACTGGGCCAGGGGAGGTTTGTGAAGTAGTAGTTACTGGATTACAGAGAACCAGCATAATTTAGCGTTGTGGACCATAAAACTTAAACTCTTGTTTTTACCTTTTAAAAAGACATTTTTTGGATATGTTAGTTTAAGGAATGACAATATTGATCTGTCAGCCCAACACTTTGGTCCATGAATCTTCTATTGGGTGAAAATAAAAATGCTGTCATTAAGCAAAAACAGAAACATTACACTGCATCTACGATTTTACCAGGTGTGCGTTAATTCTGTGGCAGCTCAGCAGAGACAGAAGTGCAAATACAGACCGGGGTCTTGTTTTAAAAGGTGACAAACAGTGATTAACCTGTGACTGCAGTGTGGTAAGAATGGGTCACACAGAGGCTAAACACCAAGTCAATTACCCTGCCGCAAACACAGGGTGTATGTCAGTGTGTGTGCTGTCATTAGTGTAAATGCCTATATTTAGGAATGACCAGAAGGCCCCGTCACCTTTAGTGACCAAACAGGTTTTCTTTAAACCCGAGTTAAGGTATGATTTCAGCTTCAAAATTGTGCACAGTCCGTGGGTATTTTGTATACATTTCTGGCGCCTATTAATAGCAAATCAAGCAATGTTTCTAATCTTGTAACTGAAGAATATGCTGCAACCAGGAAGGAAACAGCCAGAGGTGTTTATGTAAAACCAGGAAGAGATCCTTCAATCTGTTAACAGAGCCACAATGGCAGAGACGCATTACATGTGTAGTTTAGTCTGGCAAGTTCAGAAGCTTGACGAATGAATGAATAAGAAACCTGTCTAGTTAAATCAGTAACTAGAAGAAGGATCATTTACTAAATGTGATGAAGTCTACACCAAATTATCATTCTCAGGATTAACATAAGCGTAGGGAGTGGGATATGAGATTTCAACATCACAGAAATTACTCATCCATAATTAGATTTTGGTAAATGAGGCTTCCAACAAATCTGCCCTATTTGAGCTAATGTCACAATTATGAAACACACAAATGTGCTGTTAGCTCCCCAATTAAACTCTAGTAAAATGAATACATTTGTGTGCACGTACATAAATGCAAACTGCAGGAATTTATTCAGCAGTGGTGGTAAACGGTGCTCATCCCGACACTTTATAACGCATGATAAAAAGGTTACAATACATTAGCCGTAAACAGTAATAAGACTCAATTATGACATTGGAAGTGTGAAAAAGCACATCTCATTTTCCCCTGAAGGGGTAATGTTGTATATCATCAAATGATCCATTTGTTTAAGTTAGTTGATAGAGTGTTTTAGTTAAGGTATCCCACCTCTTCTTCAAAGAACACTGGAAAGCCCTGCAGTTATTAATTACTTTAACTAATCACTTAATATTTAGTGTAACATCTTTAGGGCTACAACTAAATATTTGTTTTCATCCACAGTTAATCTTTAACAATGAAGTCAGAAGACAGTGATTTAATACCCATCATTTCCCAGATTATAAAGGTGACATTCCCAAATGCCCATTTTAGACGACCAACAGTCTAATATCCTAAAAATATGACATATTGTAATTTATGGTTAATTTGCTTTATTCTAGGAATTGAAATTGTGTATTAAATCTATTTAGGATTAAATATTGGTTTTAGTATTAAACATCATCCGCTGTAAGGAAAAACCTAAATAAGGAAATGTCTTTTGCAGAGGTTCACATCATTCTAGAATCTTTTTTGCAAAGATATTTGCAGACCAAGCCCTAATGTGTGTGTGAATCATCTCTTTGCGTTTGGACATGATAGCCTTGACTTTTATCATTGAGCATATCCTGCAATTAAAAAACGATTTAAACCCAGCCCTGGGTGCCGGCTACTTCTAACAAGCTTATAGTACCTCGGTCTGCTTTAGTCATGGGATAACAAAACACTCCCTCACCGGGCACACGTTCAGGTCTGCGGAGGAGGAAGTGTAATGAACCTTTTATTACTGCTTAATGTTTTTCCGCTCTGCTCAACCTACATAGTCCTGGACACACTGGACCTTTGACCCTGAGCTTTATTTCAACTTGGTTAGGTGAGCATGACACAATCAAACCTGGTTTCACATCAGGTCCATCCATTAATAAATAATAATAACAATCTGTCTTCTTACTGACCTGATACCAGGAGCTTAAATCAATTATAAAAATAGGCCGTTGTATTCTCAGCACATTTGTGTTTAAACTTCACCACGAAAGCCTCATCCAGGCAAAATAAAAAATATCATCTTTAAAAAATGCCCAAGGCAAGATAGGCAGCAATAACAATGAGCTGCAGACTTATAAGTTAAAATTAAACACAACTCTCACAGTTTGTGGTGTAAAAGAAAAGTGGGCGAACCAAAGGATAATACTGTATGATAGTAGCTATGTGAGGTTGCCATGAATTAAAACACTAACCCTCAAGAAAACTATCTATATGATTGGTATACATATAAATATATATCCATATGAAAGTGTATTTGGAGACCAGGGTTAAATGTTTGTATGGATGGCAGCATTTGAGTGTGGGATTTCCCAGATTTTTCGGCCACAACACAGCAGTTTGTTGTGTGTGTCCGTGTAATTTGGCAGCTCCTCATTAAAGAGTGTGTGAAACGTAGCAACCACACATAAACTATCCATTTAACAACATTACTACGCTTTTCACCCTGTTTCTACCTGTTTGTCATTATGTCATATAAAGTCCAGTAGCAGTCTCTAAGAACAGTGCTCGTAATCAGCTTTGTCCCGAGTGGTGAAGCCCACTGAAGTAAAGCATGTCAAGGAATGGGTCAGTCCACATGATTTATACATGTTTACCTCTCTAGCAGTAGTGGAATGTAACTAATGACATTTACTTAAGTAGAATTTTAACACTCTTATGCTTTGTTAAGTATTTCCATTTTATGCTATACTTCTAATCCACGACATTTTAGATGGCAGATGGGGGTGCTGCAGCCCCCTCAGCAACCCCCACCCCCCCCTTCCCGCGTCCATTCGCGATGTCTCGCTGTCTCGCAGATCCCACGCAGCAAGCAGGGAATGAACCCAGCTCACACTGTCGGCTCCTCGCAGCAGCGAGCCGCGCAACGTCCCGCCAACACGGCACCCAGACCCCACGCAGCATTCTCATCTGTTTGTCCTTTCTGGTGTCATTTTCTGGTTGCCAACGCCATTGCAACACATAATCACTGATGTTCCGCTGTAACGGTGGTAGACTCCTCAGAACAGAGTGGGCGAGCTGACCAATCAGAGCACAGTGGGCTCACAGGGAGGGGGGGGCAGGAGCTCCAACAAGCCGTGTAGGACAGAGAGTGAATACACATACTATACAGAGATGCTGTATGAGAAACCAATGTGAGTTTGGAAAATTGCACAATATAAATCTATTCTAGTATACCTCAACAATGGAATTATGATCAGTAGAAATGGCCATGACATGGGACCTTTCAATCTGCTGGCATTAGTATATGATATTCTATAATAACAAAACACTGTGAGGAGCAATTCAGTATAATAAAGACAGTACATTTGCTGATAATACCTGTGTACGTTTACTTGAGTAACTTGAGTTCAACACTTTTACTTGTAATGAAGTATTTTAGACCATCATAATTCTACTTTTACTAATGTTAACAAACTAAATACTTCTTCCCACACCTCTTGTTAACTTTGTAATTAGATTGAGAACTTGAAACAAGGCAGACCTACAGTAAGAGGCGACTATGGATACTTTTTGCCGGGCCAAGTGAACCAAACTACATGTACTGTCAATCATTAACACATCCAGTCTTTCTGTTACGATGAATATAATTGACGGGAATAGACCAGCTGAACTTTAAATCTAACTGTCGAAAGGGTTCAGACAGAGCGCCATAGTTTGACTTTCTGACTTCAGCCGGCTGCCAGCTGGTTCTCTCGCTGCCAAACAGGCCCATGTTTCAACAGTTTGTCAACGGCTGTTCTCACATGGCAATGTTTCGCCCGCAGCCACTTTCCCTCACAAGTGCTCCAAACACAAACAGAGTCTGGCTGTTAGCCAGTCTGAGGGGAATGAGGAATCTAGCTCAGTACTTCACACCAGAGGTAAGCAAACACAAGGGGAGAGTGAAGGGCTCAGGCTCATCGCAGAGCAAACACACCGGGAGAGAGTGAAAAAGTCTTGGAGAGGAGGGTGACCTCGCTGACTGGTGCTGAGACGCAGACTGGGGTACTGGAGGCATTTTTCACCTCTTTGTTCTTTTTTTCCCCCTCTCTGAAAGGAAGTTGTGTCGTAAATAACACTGTAGCATTCATTCACACTGGAGGCCCATTGTGTGTGCTGTGAATGGGCTGCATTATGAGAGGAGAAATAAATATAAGAGGAAGAAGAATAGCCGCTACCGTCTTTTTCCTGTGACGGACTCTCTTTGCATAAGCAATGGTCAGATGGCTTTTACACTTACTTTGCCACTTTGTGTCTGTTGACAGTCTAAACACCTGCAGATAATCACCTGTGTTTGTACTAGAATAGGTGCAATCTAAATGCTTTCATGAATCTTTTTCCCACAACATGAGCAGGAGCTGCCTGTGTGTTAGTTCATCAATCCCTCAGGATCAAATAACCTGACAGAGGTTTTGGTTACAAATGCCAATTTTATGAGCAATATGCTACACTTTAAACACGAAAAAGGGTCTTAATTTGTCTTTGGTCTCAAATCAAAGCTTGTCTGGTTGGCGACAGGCCAGATTTTATTCTTATGACAGGGTATGTCTCATTTAAAATGACAAAAAACATTGAATGTTTATGGTCACAACAATTAAATGGTGAATCTTACTATTTGCTAAACAGACAAACTTGTGGTACAGGTTTTCAACATGTTATATAAAAGACTTGGTTTCCCCTCAGATACATGTTGCTGCGTTGAGCTGCAATGGGTTAGCTCTTGAACATGCAGACACATGCCGAGCTCCTGGATGGGTTTCAGGCTTCCTTTTAACTTTGCTTAACTTTTCTCTTCCTCTTATTTGGTAAACTTGTACATTGCTTAAAATCTGCCTCAATAAAGAATTACTCTTCAGGTCAAGCATGTGCCTGTCACTATAAAAGACTTTGACAAGTGTATTAAATGTGATTGTTTTTTAAAAGTGCTACAAACCTCTTGAAGGTGTCATCAGGGTCTTTTTGGCAGTTGATGGGCTCCAGAGAGGAGGCTACAGAGGTGCTGTTGAGGCTCTCTTTGTACCCAGCAGGGAGAAGCGGGGAGGCCCTCAGCTGCTCCACCAGGCTCTGGACGAACTTCCACAGCACCGTGCTCCTCTGGTCCTCCCTCTGGCAGAAGTGCGAGGCCAGGCAGCGGGGGGCCAGCCCGACGGCCACCCCTGCTCTCGAGGTGGGCCACACCACCTCAGTGCACAGGGCGGTCTTCCCAGCCCCAGGGACCCCCGTCACCAGCACCCCCGGCGGCTGCCCCGGCACAGAGCGAGCGTCCAGGCTGTGCCGCAGCTTCTCCAGGGCCCATTCCCGGCAGTAGAAACGCCGGCCCTGGAGCAGGCTAGGGCTACTGCCAAATCCACTGCTACTCATTTGTTCCTGGGGGTTTGACTTCCAGGCAACAACTCACTGCTCTGAACTCCTAGTCCCATGCTCTTCCAGTAAAATGTACTCCGACTCTTGGGTTTTTCTGCAGGTGTTGACACCTCTGTTTTGTGACAGATAGGGGTTTTTTCCTCACACTGACAGTTCCCGAAAGTATTGCATCAGGAGATTGTTATCAGTGGCTGTTCCTCTCCTGAAAGTCTTGAGGTGTAATTCTGACGAGAAGTGAAGTCAGAGAATTTCACAGAAGTCGGCTAATGATGTACCTCTTCATTTCCTCTTTTTGGATTTGTCATGATCTTCTTGTTGCAGGGAATGAAACGCCAAAGGGAAGAAGAGGATCCATGGTTAAGTATCTCCTGGAGATCGTGGAGCTGTGAAGTCAGAAATCAGAAAGAGGGAAAAGGAATGAGTCAAAGAAGAAACTGACAAGATTCTTCTCTTTAAGATTGTAGGCATCGATCCCTGCGACTTCAGCATGAAATTCTCTTTTCCTTTCTCACGCCCTCAGCTCTTTACAACCCTCCGTTCATACCTCACACCTCCTTCTCTCCATCTCTCCGTTTCTCATGCTCTCCGGTTTTTCCTGTTTGGGTTTTTTTGTCTCCTCCCTCTCTTGGTGTTTCATGGCATGTCAAGACATGCACAGGAGAGCAGAGAGAGAGAGAGAGAGAGAGAGGGGGGAGGAGAGGAGAGGGGGAGGACTCATGTGGCTGTGGGCGATTCAAAGCTGACAGGTGGGAGGGGTTACCTGGGGTCAAGGTTCAGTCACAGGGCATTACTACACCTGGGGCTTTAGTTTTAGGTGAGTTATCCACGTAAAGCCCCATCATGCTATATGTGCTTTGTTTATTGCTGCTGCCATCCCGGCATGGTTTTTAAATGAATTAGAATAATGTTGATTTACATTGATTTAAGATGATTCATTCTTCAAGCAAAAATAAATATCAAAAATGTGGTTTCTGCTTCTCAAATATGGGCTATGACTCTTTTTTATTCTAAGACATTTAAATGGTTTCTGCGTAATAGTATTTTCTATTGCCCATCCTAGTGATTTGATATAAGCTCAATTTAGTGTTTACTATGTTTTACTTGATTTACAGATGTTATATATCATTATTTATTTAGATCTTAAAACATGGAATTTTTTTTAGCCTTAATTTGAATGTTTACTTGTATTTTCAAAAATATTTCTATTATTTCTTTAGTTATTTAAACTCAAGAGCTGACAGACATTTTAGTACCAATGTACCACTTTCTTCTAAAAGAAAATGACGTCAATAAAACTCTGCTGGTGACTTTTAGTATATACTATACAGTTAGAGAAATTAGATAGTTGCTTTCAAGGAATTACAGTAATTATGTAATTTTCTGGTTTTACAAGACGCCACATTTCCCCCGTATAATCAGCTCTGGGCAATTTCCACCATGCGTTCCTGTGCCTATCAACCCCACACTGAAAATGCAATACTTTTTGAAGTGCATGCTACTACTTGATAAAGTGGATTACAAAAGAAGAAAGAAGATGGTTGGTCCTGTGATAAAGGAAAACCGGCTTAAAGGAATGTAGATGAGGAATCTCAAAGACTTCTGTGACAAAGTTAACATTGTGATGAGAGTGCTTTGCATTTCTAGCCGACCAAACACCAGCTATACTAAATTCAATCTGTCAAGAGTATAACCAATTAACTCTTAATGGTAATGAGCAGAAATTAACCTCACTGCTGTGCATATCATGACACCCTGGTGACAGTCTGACAGAAATAAATGAAAGCAATTACAGTTGGATGACACATGTTGTACACAAAATGTACAACAAATACTAGAGACAAGCCGGAGAATGACGAGATGTTGTGTTTTAGCAGCGCACACTGAAGACTGACACCAAACAGTGAAGTTGTCTACATTCTTGTCTTTACTTGTGGTATTTACAAAGGACTCTAAACTTGGCGTGCAGCCTGTAAAGATGATGGTGCAGCAACCAAAAGCCTGAAGCAGCATCTTTATAGCTTTTCTCAGACATGCTCTTTATGTAGCAGTCAAATAAAGTCAAGTCAATTTAAATTCAAGCATAAACAGGCCATAGTCCCCAACTGTCTGACGCACATAGTAACAGTAAGTAAGTCAAATGTTCAGTGGTAAAATATACTTATATGGACTTCTACAGGCTACTTTTTGTGAATAAAATGTAATATCAGTCAGAATATGAGCAATTTGATATTGTTTCTTAATGGCTCAATCCTATTGGACAGTGCTAAATACAAGATTAAATTACCACCAAGACACATTGTAAACCAATAACTCAAACACCTTGCCGATGTGGTCTGGGAGCTTTTGACTTGTGTCTTAAAGGTAGGGTAGTTTGAGAAACCGGCTCGAGATACACTTTTTGTTATATTCCATGGAATGCTCTTAACATCCCGATAGCAATGAATATCTTAAGTGCTTTGACAAAAAATCCATAAAAAAATGTCATCCGTAATACTGTAAAAAGCACGACCAATCATTTTAGCCGGCCCGGCTAAAATAACTGGATGGCCTACTTGCCTGTCAGCCTTCCTTCTGTGCACAAACTTATCTCGTGCCCTCATTGGTCATGTGCGCGTTCGTGTGTGTTGGAGGAGGGGCTCTGTAAGGAAGTGGTAGATTTTCTCCGGTTGTGTATTTTCAAATTCTAGCGCTCTCGAGCTGATTTCTCCAAAATGACCTACCCCACCTTTAATGTGTAAAACGTAACTCAACACAAAATATGTCATTAAGGCTATCCTTTTGTTCCTCCTTTTTCCAATCTTCAGGTGATTCTTAAATTGTTAAAGCTGACTTTGTCCACATCTAAAAATTGCTAAAGCTCATAGAGATTTATTACCAGTGTTTCAAATATCTTTGCCGATTGAATTGGCTTGGAACATGCAGAGGAATAGACCCGGGCTGTATTGTTTTGATTATTTCTTCTTCTAGAAGACTACGCACAGGAAGTGCTCTCGCTGGTTGATTACACAAACACATTTGGTCTTTGCACATGCAAATGGTTCACATTTGTGTTTACCTATAGAGCGGAGAAGTGAGATCTGATTACAATTGGTCACTTGAGACACATGTGCAGACACATTTCTATAAGTCCCACTGCTTTTCTAGAAAAGACCGGCCCTAAGTAGCATTCAAATGAGTCTATACTTGAATAAGGTATCGTTCCTGTAAGGCTGGAGCAACAATTCCTTTTAAAAACACACTTCCCCTACATTTAATTCCAAAGAAGGTGCTTGGACACCTCATTCAATGCTCCAAATGGACGCAAGATACATGAAAAAGCTACGATTACATGCAATTTGCAAACGCATAGTTACCTGTTCCCTGACTGATTGGCAGTCCTGACCCTAACTGCAAGGTCGATGCCTAACAACAACAGCTACAGGTGGGGTCATCCCAAAGAAAAACTGTGGAATTAATGGTAATGTAATAGAAATGCATGTTATTGCCATACATTAAGATTGTACTTTTTAGTTTTAAGGGGGAGGGGGAGGATATTGTAGACTATGTCTGGGCTTAAAGCATTAGTCTAAAAATACTGCCAACCAAACAGCAAAAAAATTGCTCAAATCTGAAGGATGTAGGATAGTTTATGTTAAGAAAGTGTATTACCAAAAATGTAAAATACTTTCCTTTAAATTAGTTATAAATATACGTTTATATAAAAAAAAAAAAACGTGTTTGTAAAATAAGGTTTTATATAGGATTTGTTGGTCTAGGCTAGGCTCACAATATTACAGTAGATTGTTCAGTTTGACTTTAATTACCTCCACATGATTATGAATCACCGCCTCAGGGCTTTATATCATAAATCATCTGCTTAATGTGTCATAAACTGTAGACTACACGCCTTAACACAACAGCAGTAAGCTCCCTCACTACAGTCATTGTTTGGCTCTACAGGTGATCCTCCACCGGTCTGCTCCTACACCAACACTCACACCATATTCCCTCCAGACAAAGCTAGTGAACATATCTACCTGCTGATGTGGGTTTTTACTGACCTCATTAATCCATATCAGGCACAATGCTCGACGCAATTTGAAAACACAAAGCGGTGCCCAATTTGTTTGTTTCTGGCAAAGGCTCCGATAAAGTCAGAAATGCAGTTTATTCGCTGCAAAAACACCGTGACAGAGTTTTAAATCAATCACTCTCACCTGACGGACAGACTCGCTCCCCATCTCCGTCTTCCTCCTCACCGACAAACCGAAAGCTCCTCACCGGATTTTAATCACGTGTATGCCCTCCCACGAGCCTCCACACACCACATTAAAGGTGGAGTTGTTGTTATTGCTGGGGAAGGAGTCTTGCTTCTTTCTTTCATAGACTGTCGTTTTCTCTCATTCCGTCTCTCAGGGGGGCTGCTCTCTCTGCTTCCTGCACACTCTCAAAAAGGATGTTCAAGATGGGGGGGGGGGGGGGAAATGAAAGGACTGTTACAAGGACATCCTCTACAACAGGGGTGTCAAACTCAAATACACAGTGGGCCAAAATAAAAAAATGGGTACTAGTCGAGGGCCGGACTGGTTCAATGTTTATTGCAAAACTTATTGAAATGAATTTATTGCACATATTAAACCTGGAACTAACAAAGCTTAAATTATTGCCTATAAAAACAACATTAAACATTAAACATTAAATAATCAGTTGCAGTCATTTCTTATGAGTACATTTTTCCACAGGCCAACAACAGCTTCAAAAAAACAATTCACCTCAAAGAAAAAAATAAACATGCCCTGTTGTCGCAAGAAAAAAAGTGCAGAAGGAAACATCCATTGAAACTCAGGTTGCTGCTCTGTGATGCTAGTTCAATCCAGATACTTGGCATCTCATCTTGGGTGCAAGTTCATCAATGTTTGGGGTCAGGCTCTGAGCTGAGGAAATCAGGATTGAGTGAAGGTGAGCGTGCAATATACCGGCAGGCCAGATCTAATAGTAATTAGAAATTATCCTGCGGGCCGAAATTAAATCCACCAAGGGCCTGATTTGGCCCCCGGGCCTTGAGTTTGACACATGTGCTCTACAACATGGCTGGTTTCACACAGATTTGCAAAACTGGACTACACGTTTGTCTGAGTTTTAGTTATAGACTTTGAGGTGACAGAACTGCTTGTGTACTTAAGTAAAAGCAGAAGTACCAGAGTGTAGGAATACTCTGTTACAAGTAAAAGCCCTGCAATCAAAAGGTTACTCAAGTAGAAGTACAAAAGTATTAGAATCAAAATACACTTAAAGTACCAAAAGTAAAAGTACTCATTTAGCAGATTGGCCCACTTCAGAATAGATGATATAGATGTATCTAACGTTGTATACTGCAGTGTAGCTTGTATTTCACATCATTAAAATAAATCTGCAAAGTAACTAAAGGTAGGCCTACTAAATAAATGTAGTGGAGTAAAAGTACAATATTAACCTCTGAATTGTAGTGGGAGTAGAAGTACAAAGTAGAAGATTACAATACTCATAGTAAAGTACAGGTCTCAAAAAATTGTACTTAAGTAGAGTATTTGAGTAAATCTACTTACCGGTAGTTACTTTACACCACCATAGACTCTGTGTAACCTTTGGAAGCCCATTCATGCCAGGACAATGGATGAGATGTTAGTAGAC